TCTTCCCATGCTCTTTCCCTCTTCTATCCTTTTTAAATTTTCTGCTGATAACTACATGTGACTGCCTTTTGCTCACTTCAACACTGATTGAAATCTTGTTTTATGGGTTCTATTTTTCTTTTTGCATGCTAAATAACATTAGTATAAACCACTGTTGAATGGGCCCCTGATTTTGTTCTTTTTGTTTTATTGTGCCATCAGGACAAAGCAGTTCAGTCAAAAAGAACAGGTTAGAAAAAGAAATTAATCATTGATTAAAATACATACCCCTCTATATTCTTAGCTTGCCAATCTACTCACTGTTGGTTTTTTTTCTTTTTCAATCTTTTCCGCCTGTTTACATGGCTGATCGTTCATAAGTCACAACCTGTTAACCACCCCAACATGACCCATTCTTTGAATTCACTATCTTAACCAATTAATGTGACTTCACAGAATATTGTAAATTTCTATGTTCTTGCTTTCAATATGGCCCCTTCTTTGAATACACAAGCCATCAATGAATGACTTTATACAAGATTAGACTATTTAAATGTTATATGTCCTTTTTCTTTGCTTGGGAGTGGGGTCCAATCCATGATTAGGTTCCTTTAAACAGAATTCTGAACCTCCACCACCTTCAAACAAAAACATGATAGAAGCCAGGATCAAAAAGAGAGAAATAGAATCAAATAATAACGTCTATGCAATATGCCTCAATTTAATTTTCATAAGTAAATAGTGTTAAATTGAAGGCTGATTTATGTGAGGAAACTCAAAGAAAAGGAAGATTTTTGGATGATTAAAAATGGAGGTGTACATGTTCCAACAACATCCCCCAATGGGTTGTAGGTCCATAAAAACTACTAAACTCGTAATTTGTACAGTACAATCTGACTCCAACTAAAAACGCCCCATGGAGCCAAACTGTTCTTCCTTTTCAAGCCCGAAGCCTCTGCCAACTAATCAATGGTATTTAAGTTTATGTCTCTCTATGGCCCGTTGGGGTTAATAATCCATCCTTCTTGAATTAGGCCTTCATATATTTGAAAGTGTCCTATATACTAAACAGATGTAATATTATTATTTATAACATCTATATAACTAGTATTTTAATACATGTAATAAACATTATGTTAGTTAACTAAATTTTATAATAAATAAATACTTTTTAATATATAATTAAAAGTTGTAAATTTGCAAAAAAAAAAATTAAATATATAAATTTTATTTTATATGTAATAAATAATGTATATCATGATACAAAATTATTTTAAAATATTAATAATTCTTAAAAATATTAAACTTCAAGTTAATTATAATTAAAATGATTAAAAATATAAGAAGTTGAGAAAATTTTCTAAAAAAGTTATCATTAATTTAAGATAATTATTATAGTATATAAAACAAAGTAATACTTTAAAGACCAAAAATACACGATTAAAAAATTATAGAGACGAAAACTGATTTACACTTAATTATTTTGAATCATTTCTTACATTGTATTAGAATAATTTGATTTTTGATGTAATCTTTTAATTCCCTTTTTACTTATTAGTTATTACATTATTTTTAGCATTTATTTCCTCAAAAAACAACTTTTATTTCTAAATCATTATATTCTTAAAAATATTCATTGATTTAAATTGACTATCTTTAATTAAGTAAAATATATTTTTATTTAATTAAAAATCAGAATTTATTAATAGGATTGTTTTGATGATAATATATAAAGAGAGAGTTTTTAATGAATAGATCAAATTTGCAAAATTGTTAAAAATTTAAAAATTATATGATACTTCTTTATATAGGTTTAAACTAACGTATAAAATAATTTTATGACTATGTAACAATTTAAATTTATAAAATGCTTTTAAAAAAATTTACATATTTAATCTATGTATTAATAACTTGTAATTAAATAGTTAGATAGTTAAAATTCAATGTAAAACATGAATTATTTAGTATAGTAAGTATAATTATACTTATTCTTATAATAAGTGGATCATTCCTCATATATATTAATCTAAAACATTTCCAACGAATCTATAAAAATAGTTTCTTTTTATATACTAAACAATTTCAATCAATTATTATAAAATCTTTTATACGTTTTTTTCATTATTGTGCAAGACACATAAAAGTCATTGTATATGTAAGTGTAATATGATGGATTGAGGTAGTGGTTGTGTATCATGCACTCACACGATATAATTAATAATTGTTTCACTATGTGTAAAAGTTTGTTGGATCAACAATAAAATATAAACATAATATCTCAAATAGAATTAGTCTCTAATTTATTAAGTTAGATAACACTTATGACGATATATATATATATAAGATCGGAA